CAAAGCGGGCTGAGGAACTCTGGGAGTTGAAGTCCACAAGTCTTAAAGTTGCCAAGGTTGGAGACCACTGCTCTAAGGCACCCATAATGCAAGTCTGAGAAAGAACCAACACTGATTGGAAACAGCCATAGAAGAAGGAGAAGAATCACTATAACACAATATCTCTCACTCCCATCCGTGAAATCTAGATGACTGCCATTTTTGATGGTATTGAAAGACATTGAGAAGTCCAGGAATGCCACAATGGTTGTACCACCTTATCCTGAGCTTTTCAAAAATTGTTGACCAGTATAACCAACGCCATTTCAGTGCCCTGACCTTATTCTAGACTGAAATGAGTTCAGATAATGTGTTTCATCCAGGGCCCTTTGTATCTGTATGCCAACTAGCATCTTAACAACCATCACTAAAAAGGGAAGGTTGGAGACTGAATGAACCACTGAATTCAAGGATGGCCTTTTGAGAAAGGGGCATGCCAGCATTCCCTTTAAGGGAGGCAGTACAATCCCCTCTCACAAAGAGGCATTAACTACTGTTTCTACCCACCTGCATGCCACTTCCCAGGAGGACTTAATCAACCAGAAGTGGCATGGGTCCAGAACACAGGGGGCAAAGCTGACAACACAAGACCCCTGTCTACTTCCTTAGATCCAACTAACTGTAAAACAAGGCTCATATATGACTTTGAAATGTCACTTTCAGAGTCCAACTCACAGCAAAGATGAACAACTTTGTGTGTTAGATGACAAAAATATTTTTCACAGTAGCCCTGCTGGGACTCTCCCAGCTCTTCCTTACTCAAGAGGACTTGATTACCTGAAACAGAGCTTCTTGGCAGTCATCTGTAGATCCAATAAAGATGGAGATATACATATGTTTCGCTACCTTTATTGATACAAGCAAGTCCTGATGTAGGTACTCCTCTGTGCTTGGCTTCACTCTGTCTTCCTCCAGCAGCTCTCAAGACATCCCTATGTTGCTTTATTTCTTGGAGCTACTCAGTAAACTATGATGTTATTTCATATCCAAGTATACAAAGAGTCCAGATAGGTGTAATTAGGTCCATGGCCCAGCACTAAAAACAAAACCCTCCAGGATGGTTCAAGCATCATCACACTTTTTATCACAAGTTTCCTAAGATTAGAAATCATGAACCCTGGACTAACATGATACATTTGGTTTCCTTCAAGATGATATTCTTCTACAAAAGGTTGAGCTTGATGGGGTAAGGAACTAATATTTCTCATTCTTTAACTACATTTAGAAAAACTGCATAATCTAAATATTACACCTTTTGATATGTCCCACAACTATGCTAAAATAATTTTGGTTTCAACTTCACAGTGGAAGTGACACAGAATTGATTCCACTATTATGGGGGTCTGTCCAGGAAGCACACACATATCTCTTTAATTAGAACAGCACACTGCATATTTTGGAATATTGTACTTCAATTTAAAGTATGTACAGAAAGATGCAAATGAAGAGATAAATTAACACGAGAAGCAGTAAATGGAAACAGAAAGTCCAAAGCAGAACTTCTAAAACAAGAGCAACAGAGTATCATTAAGTGCTTGGTAATAAAGCAGTATTAATATTTCCTGTTCTAATATCATGAGCTGCACGGAAATCATTTGGAGGAATCTATTTCTTAGATAATCTGCTGCTTAGTATCATTGATCATAGGTTTGATGATACCAATTCAGCAGTAGTTGTTTCTCATTTGAAAGTATCCGGAAAGAACATGGATCCTACCCCCCCAACACTTCTGGGGTAATAAACAAGTGAATATTCTGTTATTTTTTTTCAGTATTAGCAAAGATCATCTAGCGACCAAATATGTATCCTAATGGCCTTAAGAAAGTTAGAACAATTAATCAGTGGAACAGCTTGCCTCCAGCAGGGAGTTGGACTAGAAGACCTCCAAGGTCCCTTCCAACCCTGCTATTGTATTGTATTGTATAGGTTATTGATAGCATCCTATTTCTCATTTAGTGAGCTTTTCTTTTCTTTCTGAAAAGAATTCCTAGAAAGAAAAACTCCTTATATTTGGGGATATGCTATATTAGTATTATGAAAGCACTGAATGAAAGAAATACTAGGTTCATAACCATTACAATTAACAATGTGCAGTAGCAAGCTTCCAAGCAGCCGAAGTTGAAGCTGCCAATGAGTATGGACTGAAAAATGAAAAAAAAAATAGTCACTGATGGTCACACACATTCTCACAATTTTTTGAAATAATTATGACATACATAACCCGCAGTGATTTTCCACCAGATTTTTTTACATCCATGAATTAGGAAGGCAGAAATATTCCAGGATACATGACTAGATTTAGAAGGTATGATAGGACATTGTTCCACTAATGAAGATCTTTCATTGGTGAAAGAATCCCAATTTGATTCCACCTAATTCCCCCATATTTACTTCCCCACTTCCTGAATTTGAAATATCAACCCAAATCACAAATTCATTCTTCTAGATAGATTTACTTTTTAGAAAATGGTAGCTATGAAGTGATCTTGAAGCTTTGCCATGACAGATTTAAAAGAGACAGTAGGAAGGAGAATGTCTTGAAAAGTATGAGATAAACATGGAAATGTAGAACTAGAATTTATGCATCAAGTGCATGCAAATATGAGCTGTGCCTCTGTTTTTAAGGGACCTCATGACTGAAACAAAATGAAAATAAAAGTTGCAATTGTATTTTATACTAGCATAAATAGGAAATTGAGATCTATGTATACATACTGTACATATATATTGCTTTTGGAAGATTAAGCATGCTTGATAAGGCTGAATTTGAAATTTGCTTCTCTTTTATTAATTAAGCCAATTCTACTGTTTAACCATTCCTGAGTAAGTAATGCTGAATACAGGAACTAGGTGACGCAAGAGCCATTAAGGAGAACTAGGTTTATGTACATGAAGCTTAAAGTGGTAGATGGAGCAAGACAACTGGAAAAGAATAAGAGAATTCTCAGAATGTAGTTGTACAATAAGTTAAAATATTATATCAGTCTCAGATGACAAAATGTTGTATCAACTGATCATCACATCACTGTGTGAAAAGCCGTGGTTTTGTATTAGAATACATATTTTCCATAAACAAGTTCACAGATTTCCTTTTGGAACTTGCAAGTAGAGTTTTAAAAAAACCTTTTCTGAAATGCCAGAGAATCACTGACAATTGTTATGGACGAAATGTAAAGCACCTTTCTACATTAGTGTTTTAAATTTGCAAAATAAGCATGCTACATTATATTCAAAAGGCAAGTGCATGGGATGAAAGGACACATTTAAACATAGCATCCATCCCAAATGTTTGAAATAATGTTTTTGGAGACTTAGGAAACTAGGAAACTATTCTTTTAGACATATGTACATACATATATATCTATGTAAACCTATATTGGAAGCTGGTATATATGCCAGATACCCCTAAAATTCATGCATAATTAGTATGTGGTCTGGGACTTTAAGATTAGGAAAATGTGAGTCATGTCAGTGTGTTTGAAAAGAGAGATTAATTTACTACAACTGTTTCCAAATTAATCTCGCAAAATGATAAATATCTCAGTTTTCAGACAGTCACATTTTCTTAAGAAATCTTTACTCAGGACCACTTCATCTATGGAGGACCCTTAGAAAGGGCATACTTTCTCAAAGAAAAGAAGATATGCCAGGTCTTGCATAATCATTATGACGAAAATCTGAGCATGCTGGGACCACGGAGTGGACAGCCATTTTATGGAGATGTGGCTTATTAGCTTCCTAGAATGCTAATAAATCTCCAGTCATTTGGACACTAGCTTGAATGGCCTGTCTCCTTACCTTTGACATAGGGAATGAAGTGGTGTCGGAAAGGGGAGTAGGGGCGGGAATCATTGTGGGTAGAGATTGGACTATTAGTGCGTAGGAGGGCTAACCGCTGCACACCATTAGACAGCAGCTCTGCAGCAGCAAGGATTCGTGAAGCAGGACAAAGCAGAAACAAAGAAAAGAGAAGACCAAATAAGACAGAAGCAGGAAAAAGTGGTTGGAGGCTGAGGGAAACACAGTGACAAGCTGTCATAAGTAGGAATCTGAGGACTATACAAAGGAAATGAAAGAGGTTTCTTACTGCAGGAAAAATTCATACAAAGAAATGTGGAAAAATCAAATTTACATTGAATATTCTTTCATTTCAAGTTAAATCCATATTTCCTTATATACAAAAAATAGGGTGGAACTGGCATTCATGCAACTCTCATTTTTAACTTATTTTCAAGGAACAATTATATGGGAAGTACTGGACCAAACAATTACAAATGAAAGCTTAGTTTTTTGTTATATATTGTGCTAATATATCTTCTAACTTTAGAAGAAAAATTATAGTTGCTTAGCAAATATGTGGCCATATAAATCAAACAAATAATTCCCACAATAATATTTTTTCCTAATGAAAACATTTAATATAGTATAAGCACTAGAGTAGAATCATTTTAAAAATAGAATGTAAGTTCTAATCACTATAAATTTTCACTTGGTTTATCAGAAGAAAAATCTGGAAAAATAATAAAATCTGAGTCTCTATAAACTGCTGATCATGCCAACTGACTTCCTATGATATCAAAATTTTAAAATCTTTCAAAAAGTATTAACTTTATATTGTTATATTAGTTTTAAAGCTCAAGTTAAATATCAAATGGGTACTCAGTATTAACATAGTGCAGTGATGACGAACCTATGGCATGCGTGCCGCAGGTGGCAAGCGGAGCCATTTTTCAGGGCACACGAGGCGCTGCCCTGTCAGCTGGCCAGTGCGCATGTGCGCGCTAGCAGCTGAGTTCACCCTTTTGTAAAGCCATTTTTCGCCCTCTCCAGTTTCCAAAGGCTTTATAGGAGCCTGGGGAGGGCGAAAACAGCCTCCCCCCCCTCGGACGCCCTCCGGAGGCTTCATTAACTTCCCTAAAGCTTCCAGAGCGCAAAAAACTGGCCCTATGGGCAAACCGGAAGTTCAGGAATGGACTTTCTCGTTGCTCGGAGGGTTATTTTGACTGCTCTGGAGGCTTCAGGGAAGTCTCCTACAGGTCCCTGAAGCCTTCAGAGCGCTCAAAACAACCGTCCGAGCAAACCAGAAGTGACTTCTGGTTTGCTCAGAGGGTCGTTTTGAACTGTTCCAGAGGCTTCAGGGAAGCCTCCAGAAGCCTCTGGGGGGCTTCCGGGGGGCAGGGAGGCTGTTTTCACCCTCCCCAGGCTCCTATAAAGCCTCTGGAGCCTGTGGAGGGTGAAAAAGGGATGCAAAAATGGGTGGGGTCGTGCCTTTAGTGCACGCATTGTGCACTGGGGGGGCGCCATTGCATTATGGGTGCAGCACGCCCGCACACGAACCCCCTGCGCTCCTCCCACTTATGACACGCAAGTCAAAAAAGGTACACCATCGCTGACATAGTGTATATTAACAAATTGCCAAACTAATATTGATGCTGAATATTTCGGGTGAGAAAAGCCTAGATGTCATAGAAGATAATTAATGGAATCAAGGTGGCAGTACCTATATGACTTTGGCAAGTGGTGAAAGCCAAACAAAAGTGACTCTAATAACACTTGGATGAGAGATTATTTAGGTCATCCAGTACTGATCACTAAATTAGATAATTGAAAAAACAAATCACAGAAAAAGGCAAAGATAGGCAACTTTCATAACATTACCAGGGATTGTTTTACTTCTGTATGTATGTCTAGCATTTCAGCAGTGAAAATAATTCCTGGCAAGTTTTTAAAAAAACATTTATTTCCTCTTTTAAAATGACTTGTAACTTCCTTCCCCTAGAGTTTAATAAAGACATTTTAAAAAAAGAAATGGTTTAACATTTTCATTAAACGAGCAAAAGTTACATTAAGAACTATTCAAAAAACCAGAAACCCTGACTTAATTAAAAAATGTCCATAACTTAAAATTCAGAATTATTTGCTGGTGAAAGAAACTAGATAAATGTAGTTTTACATGTTTTCCTCATTAATTATTGCCTCAAATAACATAATCCATTTCAGAAAATTGTTTAATTTCTAATTAGCAGATATACCCTATTCTTCTATAATAAAGATCCACTTAACAAAAAATGAGAAAGAAAAGGAAACACACTTTTATAATGAATAAATATCTTCGAAATTGAAAGAAGTAGATCCCTCTCCTAGAGATTCTAAAAGTTAAAGAATGAAGAATGGTAGTTTCTAAAATTTGGTTCTATGGTTTCATTAGCCTTACCTGGTCTGTGGAAATGCTGAGGCGAGCGGGACATGGTGGGAGTGTAGCTATGGCGACTGTATACAGGGGAACCAATGGAACCCTGACTGGTTGACCGGTGCATCATTCGTTCTCGCATATCCTGATAACCCTGGAGAAAATATTATTTTATGTATTATAGCAGATGATCTGATAAAATTCCTTCTACTTATCCCGAAGGTGCTTTTTCAAGAAGCAACTGGACAACCGTGACCTAGATGACTGAGAATCTCCATAGATGTCCTTCTACTTATGCTGTACCTTCAACTCAAGTTTAGTAGGTGCAGTATGTAATTCCAAAAATACTTCTCCATTTGTATCATACTAGATCAGTGTTTCTCAACCTTGGCTACTTGAAGATGTCTGGACTTCAACTCCCAGAATTCCCCAGCCAGCGAATGCTGGGGAATTCTGGGAGTTGAAGTCCAGACATCTTCAAGTGGCTAAGGTTGAGAAACACTGTACTAGATCATAAAATACCAAGCTAGATTTTATAAGGAAGCATTTATCTTGCAATCCTTTTGTGATGCAAGTACTGTTAACAGGACAATCAGCAAATAGAATTGGGAGGGGCTTCATCTCTTTTACAAAAACAATTATCACACCATCATACCATCAATTTAACAAGATTACAGAATGTTTGGTTGTAACTTACTTCTGCAGATGGAGTTGGAGAGAGTGTCCTTGGTGACTGAAAGACATAGCACAAAGGAGATGACATGTAAGACATTTTGGTGAAATCTGTTATATCAAATCAATGACAGATAATTGATAATTTCATGAGAAAGATTGTTTAATCCAATTCTGAGAGTCAGATTCATGGAGTTAAGAAACTGCTTGAGTTTAAGGTCAAAAGTATGCTAATTTGTGCTTAATCTGATCAAAGTTTCATAAATAATTGTAGCAATTATTTCATTCAGTGATGGGCTTTATCTTTCAGTGATTTTGAATTTTTATTAGAAATTTACCAAATACATGTGATACTGAAGTCTTACTTAAAAAGACTCCATTTTGACTGTAAATTTATAAAGAGAAAGACGAATAAGCATTTTGACATTTCTTGGACAAAAATGTTTACAATGAAAGCTATCCCAAAGAATATAGCCATTTCACACCAAAATGAGATTTGATTAGCTTTACCATCTTCACTTTGTGATGTACAGAAAGCAAAGAGACAATTAGCAATACCATTCTGTGATTTCTATAGCCAAAAGGTATTTAAAATAGGATCTAGGTCAATTTTTATGCGTCTATGAGTTCTTAAACATGCCCTGGAGAACCTACATTTGTGATGAAGTTTGGCGTATCTGCTTAACCACATATCCTTGTTGCAGCTCAAGCCACATTGCAGTTTTTCAGTGTGCCTTGAGGTGAAACACATTGCAGTTAAAAAAAACTGTGGTAGGCAAATGGAAAGAAATGCTATTTAACAAATGATTCTAAAGGAACTTTCGCAACTATTCACAAGAACCTCAGAGATGGACTATCTAGCAGTTCTCTTTTATAAGAAGTTGCCTAAACTCCTGCTTCTAAAATAACATATCTGAACTTCATCTGCACTTTCTGCACCTTGTCACCTATCATGCCAAATGCTTATTTGTCTAGAAGTTTGTTTGTTTGTTAAATTATTACATTTTTATGCTACTCATCTGCCCTGTAAGGTGAATCTGGGCAGCTTCTTATAAATTATAAATTGTTATAAATTAATATTTTATGATTTAATCACTCTTCAGGTATGTGTGTGTGTGTGTGTGTGTGTGTGTATGTGTGTGTGTGTGTATGTATATATCAATCAAACTAGAGACAAACTGTCTAATGCAAATTTGTTTTATATCATCTATTACTTTATGAATTTTGCACCCTGTTTTCTTGAACTTACACTTTCATCATGNTCACCATCACTGATCTAGGGAATGGTACATAATGGATAGTTTTCTTCATTTAATGAACTTTAGATAAATAATATGTTCCAATATCTAAGAGGTTACCATAAAGAAGAGGCGGTCAACTTATTCACCAAAGCACCTGAAGGCAGAACAAGAAGCAATGCATGGAAACTAATCAAGAAGAGAAGCAACTAGGAGAAATTTCTTGACAGTTAGAACAATTAATCAATGAAACAACTTGTCTCCAGAAGCTGCGGATGTTACAACACTGGAGGTTTTTAAGAAAAGATTGGACAACCATTTATCTGAAATTATATTAGGTTTCCTGTTTGATCAGGGGTTGAACCCTTTCAATTCTGTTATTCTATTATATGCTAGCAAATAATTTTATTCTTCAAAAAAAATACTTTTTGTTCTACTATGACAGTCTCTAAAAACATTCCCAGTATCAGCAATGTATATTGTATAGTAATGTAACAGCCATATAAAATGTACACAAGATTGAAAATTAGGTTGTATTACTAGAAACATTGGCTGTTGGGTTCATTTGGTTTTTCACTCCAATCATCTGAGATGTGCATTCTTGAAAGAGTGCTCTATCTATAGTGGAAAGAAAACTATTGGAATTGCGAACATCCAAGATGTAATTTAAAAAAGGTTAATTCCATTTGTATCCTAAAACCCTCCTACACTACACCATGATACACTATCATTTGAAAGCATGAGCCATGCCATGAGCTCCAGGTTTATATGCTCTCCCACAGTTTTAGGTACTAAATATACTTCATTAATTTCATTAATTTAAATTGCACACAATCCATCTTTTTGTCCTATTCTGTTAACCTTTTGGAGTACAATATCCACATATTACACACCAGGTCTATGTTTGGCTAAAGTAACTAAAGTGACCCATGGTTTTATAGCTCTCCTCATTGACCCACAAAGGGACAACAGTTCTAAGTGAAAGGGCAACAAATTGCAGTGAAAAGTGAGAAATGGGAAATATCAGAAAACTGATCACTGCTGCCATGTGCCACGGGTGCTCCATAGTTATGCCAACATGCCAGTTTTCCTTTTAGGGATTATTGGAATAATGAGAAGAGCAACATGCTGACCAAGGAATCTCTTCCATTTAACTGACATTTAAATAATATGCCTAAAATATAATTTATAAATAATTAATAAATACTTAATTTGGGTTATAGTAAATTAAGTATACAAAGGTAGAGGGAATTATACAAATTTAGAATGTCAACACATCATAACTAAATGGAAAGGTATTTTGGCATCTACATGTCCCATCTATGTCTGAGAATGACAAATCACAGAAAGTATTAAGTCCTATGGAGAGGAAGTGTTCAAGTCCCACACTGAATCATTGGGTGTGATTGGGCACTACAGTAGCTCTCTTTTAGAAAATGGTATCTCTCTATTAATTTGAGAGTTTTTATTGAAAGACTCCTGTTATTTTTAAAGTATGTACCAATTGTGTGGTTACTAATCAGAAGACAAACAAAATGGATATTGCACGTACCAATGATAACAAAAAAACTAATACCATAAGAATGAAGGATATCCCTTCTTTTTCAAATTTTACAAAGGTATGAAGAACTTACCTCCATTTCGATATTTATAAAGCATTCTGTTGCCATGGGATTTTCAGCAGGGGCCTATTTCGATGTTTTGTCTCTTTATACCACTATGTAGTATTAATTATATATTTTTCTAAATCAATCAATTGTGCTGTATGATATGGACATATACATAAGACTAATTTAATAATTAATTTAAATTGAGATGATGTTCATGTAAATTCTTCCTTTCACTTTTCTTAAGTTTTCTTTTGAAAATATATAAGAAAAGCTGATAATGTTTAATTTCTTTCGTATGCTTAGGACTGCAACCTATATTTTATCCTTTGTTTAAAAATATTACACAATATTAACATGGTATAACTCTGAGACAAACAAGAAAAAAACGTTAGGGCCTTGCACTAAACTAAACCACTGTGTATCACTGTTTTATCAATGTTATGATTTGGAGAAATGTTAACTTTATAACTAAAAATATCCAGCATTTTTTAATTGTTCCAAATTAAGCAAACAAGTCTGGATCTCAAAGCAGTTCAGGGTATATCCCAAGTTCAAAACAACTAAACAGCATGCAGCGATGGAAACAAAAACAAAGGGTTACAAAGGCTACTACAGTCTACACTCGGACAAGACACCAAGACACACAATGCCACTCCTACCTGGAACATGGAAATGTTTAGGGACCTGAGCGTAAGTTGGTGTTAGAGGGCGACTGTCAGGCCGATAAGGGGCAGGGGAATTCCGACCGCTGGACGGCTCATTGCCTCCAATGAGGAGAATGGAAAAACAAACAAACAACAAAACAAAGAGAGCAGTAAAGAAGCAGGCATAAGTCAAAACCCAACCAAAAGCCAATGGCAAGGGGAAACCAGAGAAGGAAAAACGAACAAAAATATATACAGGAGAGTTAAGTAATGTGGCTAGTATTGTAAGGCACTGCTATTACATATTAAAGGAGTCATTCGCCTTAGGCTGGAATTTGGCAACTTGCATTCATTCATTCATTCATTCATTCATTCATTCATTCATTCATTCATTCATTCATTCATCGTTATCCATAGCATGCATAAAGGTACCATGCATTTAAATTACATGGATGAGATGTGAAAAGGAATGGAAAAAGACAATTGGAATTACTGGATTTCAATATATAAGTAACAGCTTTTGGCAAAATTATTGCTAGATAAAATGCAAATCAAGTCAGCTTTTCAGTTAATTCTCATGCAAAAGAAGCTCCATACTTAAAATGATCACACATGAAAAATGAGCGAAGAGGCTACAAGTTATTCCAGTTAATGTCTGGTACAGTTGTCCATTTCTTATTAATTTAAACCACATTACTTCTCATTGGAGATGCTTTTCCTTCTGTTGAAGAATCATCTCCAGATAAGCTTCTGGGGAAACAAAGCTGGCCCAAACATTTCTTTTTGCCTGAGACAGAAGAGTAAAAGCTTTGAATCTTTCTGCTCCCTTTCCATGTCAAGGCAGGACACAGGGATTAGCACTTAAAGTGGAAAATATCTCAAACCTATTTTACAGAGGGACAGAGATAATGATAAGAGACAAAGATGCCTCAATGTTACTGGAAATATCTGTTCATCTATATCAGTGGTTCCCAAACTTGGCAACTTTAAGACTTGTGGACTTCAACTCCCAGAATTCTCCAGCCAGCTCTGCAGAGCCAGCTCTGCTGGCTGGAGAATTCTGGGAGTTGAAGTCCACAAGTCTTAAAGTTGCCAAGTTTGGGAACCACTGATCTATATCTATGTCTATATAGGTATTATCCATTTAAGATAGCCAAGTCAACCACTTGGTTAGCTTCTCACTTTGCCAAATGATAAGGTTAGCTAAAAAAGTGTGACAGAAAGAACAATGAGAAAATGTTTGAGTGGCAGTTTTTAAAACTATGGGAAAGAAATGCATAACTAGCCTTCCTCTCCTACCAACTGCATGGCTAATTCCAGTGACGCAGTTATCCATTTCCAAAGTATAGATACAAAATGATGAATGAGTAATATCTTCTTTGATTCCAAGCATGTTTGGATTTCATAACTGGCTACATGAAAGAGATCCTTCTCTTCAGGAAGATTACTGCAAATAATAAAGTCCCCAAATTTTGGCTCGCAACAGGATTGTGCAGGCATTTATTTATTTAAAATATTTATATAGTTTATCTTGTACTAACCCCTGGGCAGCTCACCGCCATCAATTAAAATAACATATGTGTGCAATAAAAATATTAAAACCACAAACATCAAAACTTGTCACTATAGTTACACTTTTACATGCAGTCCACTAAAAGATCTTCTTGTTAATCCCATGCTATCCAAGGACTTGGGGGTGGGGAGGCAAATCTTAGGTGCTTTTAGGAAGCCTAAAAGGGTGGAGGCCTGCCAAACCTCAATGGGAAAGGTGTTCTATAAGACAGATGCCATGTAGAAGATACATTTCCTATATCCATAAAATGGCAACATTTAAGGGTAGGGACTAGGAGTATGCCCACTTTACCCAAACTTGGGGAGAGGCCATCTTAGAACCTGATTTTTTAGAGTTTTAAAGAAAAGAACCAGCATTTTAATTATATCCAGAAGGAAATTGGGAGCCAGTGCAGTTCACACAACAGGGGTGTAACATGGATAAACCTACATATGCCTGCACATTTTGGACCAAGTGAAAGTTCCAGTCTTCAAGAGAAGCCACATGTATTATGTACTGCTCTAATCCAAATGGGAAGTGATCAAGTCATGAGTGACCATGAGTAAGACCAAAAGGAAGGGCAATTGGTGCACTAGATAAATCTACACAAGTCCCCCACACACAGACCTAGCCCTGGTGGCAACCTGTTCCTCAAGCAGAAACCATGCGTCTAGGAGGACTCACCTCAGCCCATCCAAAGTCATGGGCCTCATTCAAAGTCAAAGATGTAATATCACCCGGGAGGGTTGAAACCCAGGGCCACACCCTCTTGCCAGGTATAAGTTGAAGCTGGCTCTTCTCATCCAGACTGTTATAGCTTGCAGGTGCAGGTAGAGCAGATGATCTCTCCCAGCAATTTCACATAGATATTAAAGAAGAAGAGGCAAAAGACTTGAGCTCTAAGGCANAATAATAATAATAATAATAATAATAATAATAATAATAATAATAATAATAATAATAATAATAATAATTGGGATAACCTGGATGAATTTGCCCTGGATGACTCAAGAGTTGTATTTGCCAATTGCTATCATCTGAGCAAAAGCAGACCAGAAGGAGCCATAGTAACATTTATATTTCACAAACCAGTAAAGAGAATTTGGAACTCAAGTTCTGTGCATCCCTTTTTCAAAAGACCAGATAAATGGAAGCTCAGACAGTACGTAAGAATGAAATTATGATACAAATCTCTCAAGATACCGCTAGAGTGAAAACTCAATTCTGTGGATCTTGATGCAATGGACCAAATTAACTTGTGTGTTATGTCATTTGCGTAATAAAGTCACCACAGAAATTGGGATAGGATGGGATGGAAATAACAGGCACCCCTCAGATAGTCTTAAAATGCAACTTCATTGCATTCTGTAGAGTAAAGCAAGATCTATCAGTCTCTGCTCCGTCTTGTATGAATTTCCTTTCTGAAGAATTACCGTTTCAGGGTCACGCTGTACTTCCATGAATGCTGAATACTCAAGGAGCCGCAACTTGGCAGAGGCAATTGTTCGGTCCTGCCAGACTGGCACAGCTGAGGCAGAAGGTGGAAGAGGAGCCAAGGGCTCATAGCCTAGAAAAATGGGCAGATAAAACATTCTTGAACATTTTAGAACCAAATTTTAGTTGCAGGAGAAAAGTATGGAAAAAATAATCTTTAAGAATAGACAACTGGGCCAGTTTAGTTCAGTTTGGTTCATTTGTCAATCTTTCCCGGCAATTTAAGACTATTCCCTTAATTGTTATCCTGATCACAATAATATTGCATTACATTATATTCTCTAAAATCATTTATGGGCTGTCTATGGAGTTAAGGAGATAGCAATATGAAACACGTTATCTCTTAAACAACGAAGAGGCCATCATTAGACCTTTCCATTATGGCAATTAGCATTCAGTTTGTTCAGGAAGGTTATGGAGAAAGTTCTCTATTGTAGGCTGCCACCTTCTGGGACGGAGGAAGCATGCCTTCTCTTTGCTGCCTTTTCCCTCTAGAACAGCAGTCCCCAAAAGATACGAATGCCCCCATGTTCTCTGCCTTTATCCAAAGCCTGAGGTTAACAGGTTTACTGATGTATTTGTGAGAGCTCTGTTGTATCTATATATTTTATTGTTTTAGGGTTTTTTTTGTTTAAGTTGCCTGTTTATGTGTCTGCAATTGTTAATTGCTTTTATTATTAATCAATTGTATAAGTCAGTGTTTTTCAACCACTGTGCCGCGGCACACTAGTGTGCCGCGGCACAGTGTGAGGTGTGCCGTGGGAAAAACACTTGCGCCCCCCCCAAAAATCGTTTTTAAAATGCGCTTTCTGAACTCGGCCTCTGTTGTCTTGGGAGCCTTCGGGGCGAATTCGCTTAATCTCCCGCCGCCGTCGTCCCTTTCACCCGAACCAGAGCTAGGGCAAACCCCGTGGCCGTTGCACACATGCGCGATCCTATTTTCTCCAGGGGACGACGAGCCTGCGGAAGAGGGAGCCGCGCAAGAGTGGGGCTTGTCATTGCAGGCTCTGGGCTGACCCTGCCTGAGAGCAGCTGCAGCTGCAAGCCAAGAGAAATTGAGAGAGAGGGAATGTGCACGTTGCGCTCTCCAGAAGGGCTAGGAGTGGGTCCGGCGGCTAAGGCTAAGCAACACGCGACCTTCGCCGGGACTGACAGCCGCGGTGAAAGCAGCCCCCGCTGGCTGGCCTTCGCTTTTGTCTGCTGGGTAGTGAAGGCAGCGGCGGCGGAGAAG